AAATTGACATATTGGACAGAAAAATAATTGAAATAAAAAATAAATCAAAAGAATTAATGAGAAGATATAATTGAACTAACAAAAATAGAAAAATTATAAAAGATTATAAAAGATAAATAATTTACAATTTAAAACACAAAATCACGATTAAAAATATTGCAACAAAAAGAGATGGCCACAGGGAAAATTACACAAGATTGGATGAAAGATAGCTAAGAAGGTTGGATTTGAAAGAAGAGAAAGAGAAAGTAGAACGGACAATCGGTGGATGAGAGTTGTAGATGTAAGGAGCATTATAGCTGAATGAATTTTTAAAGATTTCTAGATTAGGCTTAGGAATGAGAAGATCTGTCACCTTTAGTGATTTGTCTTGTGGTCATACGGCCATGAGGACGTATTCTTTGATTTCAATTGATTCATAAATGAAACTAAATTTCAATAATTCCCAATCGCAATAACTCCAGCTAGAACATGCCCATCTGTTGACAATATAAATGAAATTACAACAGAATCCCTATCATGGGGACACTTCGGGGCCAAAAAGTTTCCTTTTAATAGGTATGTCCCCTGAAGAGGGTACGTACCCCTACAGTATTAAGCGAAGGATGTAGTGCCCGCAAATGTGAAAATCTACCACAAACGTAAAAATAACCACATAGGCCTATGTAAAAACATTGTACCCACAAATGTCATAATACTGTAACCCCAAATGTCATAACATGTCAACTACATATGTAAAAATAACCACAAATGAAACTTAATCTCTTAAACCACAAATGTAAAAACAATTCACCTACATGCAAAGAATTCCAATTTTACCTCACATGTCAACCGCAAATATAAAGACTCACTATAAGGTAAGTTATTACTAGATGTATGGGTGTGTTTGTGTGCGAGGATTTCCTATAGAGCATTAAAATCCTTACAATATTGAAAGATCATAATTACCCGCTTACGATTTGAATGGTGTCTGCGTATTTTACCATTTTTTATGAACGGTGATTGATAAAACAACATTTAGGCCTATTAATTGAATTTACGTGGATTTTCAGGAACACGTTTTTTTTATACATAATTTCGGCTTAGTATTCAAAATAAAAATGGAATGCTAAACCATTGGCTATTTAGTGAAATAATAATAATAATAATAATAATAATAATGATAATAATAATAATAGTGTAGTTTTATATAGCGCACATATCCATCTAATGTACAGTAAGATGAGCAGTGCGCTTGATATGTGGACTAGCAACTCATCAATGTGAAGGTGAAGGTAAATTGGGGCTTGATGATTAGTTAGAAGCGCCACAGGGGTGGCGCCAGTTGGGAGCGGGGCCCAGGGCCCCGTCGGGAAGAGCAGCGCCTTCCCCCTCCCCCACGTCGGGGAGAAAAACTTATAATACTTATAATAGGCCTATGTAAATTTTACATTGATAGACTCTTAAATCGAATTCATAAGCCTTTGAAACCCTCTAAGTTGTCATATTGGAACACTTTTGGAAGGTTTTGAACGACGCTTAACCACGCCCACTTTTTAGTGGGGGACGACGACGATCCCCCACCCCTTCGTCGGGCAAATCCTGGCGCCACCCATGGAGCGCCAGCCCATGGAAAAATAAGGTAATTTGAGGTGCTATATGTGACTGACTTGCTTTAATTGTATGAGGGGGAAAGTATTTAGAGTCGCTTATTGAAATTTTAGAAGTTCGCATAATTTTTCCATCATTCCTAGCATAATTTTTCCATCATTCCTAGCATAATTTGATCGCATCGGTGGTCACACTGAGATGAAAGAAACAACGGCCCGGTAAGCGTACGAGGGCACATTACCACCGGCACGTAACAATCGGAAGAAAAGAATACAGTGTATGTATTTATTTCGAATTATTGTAGTGTATATTCACATTTGGGATAAAAATGAGTTTTATTTTGTTTTACGACTAGGCATATCATAGGTTTATATGTGTACTTTTGTTGGCCTAATAGAGTTCTACTTTCTATGCAGGCTTAGGCCTACACATGCGGAACTTTTTTGCCTTTTTTTGGGGGGGGGGGCAGGGGTTGGTGCCGCATCCCCCAGCCTACGCCCCTGTGATCTGTGTGTTACCAGTGTCTGCGAGTGTACAAAGAAAGTGTCAAGCTTTGGTAGTTTTAAATACCTATACACTTTTTTTTATTTATAAGAACCAGTAAAATGTTTTTTTTTTTGTTTTTTTTGTGGCCAATTTCAGGCTCAAAATGTTCTTTTTTGTTCTTATTTGTACACAGTTTTCAAACATAAACTTTCCGAGAGCATTACATAAAACAGCTACTGCACATAAAGTACAGATAAGATTTGTGGGTTTTTTCTGTTTAAAAAAAAAGGGACCTCGCTCAACATTTTAAAGCAATTTCAGCCTAATTGTATGCAAGTTTGTATGTCAAAAGAGGAACATACCACTAGTTGGCTACGTGGTTAAAAGGCCTCGTGGTTAAAAGGCCAGGATTGGGTTCTTTTGGAATGGTAACCAAAATAAGCAATCAGTATACTGTAGTTCTGGAATGTTAAAAGCCTCTGGTAGCAGAGTATGTTTGAGATTGTTTCAATTTAAGGATATAATGTTATATGGCAGTAGGTTTTTAATACAGTATGTTGTATTGGGAAAGAATACCAAAGAGATAGAAAAAAGAGGGTAAATAAAAAAAAAACACACACACACAACTGACAGTTGCGGCGCCAGCGGGGGAGGGGGGTTAATCCCCCTGCCCTTGCATCGGTCTGGTCAAGCCCCCCCATCCAAAGCTCATCGGCCAGTCGGACCAAAAAAAAAAAAAAAAAAAAAATAGGCCTAGTTTTCCCATCCCAGCATTTTCCGGCCACCTAGAAGTCCCAATTTTTCTTTTTAAATCTCGTTTTTTGGAGGAGGGGACACTCCCCTGCCAAAGTCAAAGTCAAAGTCAAAGTAAAACTTTATTCATCCTTCAACGAAGGAAACTGAATGCTCGCATAAAACTTTTAAAAACAATGTACAATCACATAAAAAAAAATATTCATAAAATTAACGTTTAAAATGTGCATTAAAAAG